AAGTAATGAATTAAAATGTCCCGCAAATATTCTTTTTTGGAACGAAATTTGACATTTTTAAGCATAAAAATATCTATGTTGTTAACATCTTCAGCAAATTTGACATAGGAAGTTTTGAAGCTTGCTATCAATACAACAAAATAGTATATATATCAAATCGCATATATATCAACATATGTGTAACTCCGTCTATTGAAAAAATTCCGCATTATTAACTGGTACACCTAGTATATGTTTTCTTAATCCCTCTCTTGGGATCTTGTAGTTTTTTTCCTTATTTGCCTACTTATTTGTTTCATTTATTTTATTTAGGTAAAGCTACTTCCTCTTCTAATCCAAGCAGCCCAGCTCCAGACTGGTATAAAGATTTTGTTACAGATGCTGATGCTGAGATTTTAGAGCATTCTGGCAAAATGGTACTTCTCTTTGAAATTCTTCGAATGGCAGAGGAAATTGGGGATAAAGTGTAAGTTCTTTCCTATTCTTTATACAAATGAACTTTTTATAAGCTTTCTATTGTTTCAACAGCTTATTTGAAGAAAAATGTGTTTTCTTCCTTTCCAAAAATGTCATTTACTTTGGTTACTATAGTGATAGACAAGTATCTTCCATTTAAGCCACTAGTTCTTTTTTTAAAAATATATTTTTATTGATTTCTGAGAGGAAGGGAGAGGGATAGAGAGGTAGAAATATCAGTGATGAGAGAGAATCATTAATTGGCTGCCTCCTGCACGCCCCCTACTGGGGATCGAGCCCACAACCCAGGCATGTGCCCTTGGCTGGAATTGAACCTGGGACCCTTCAGTCAGCAGGCTGATGCTCTATCCACTGAATCAAACCGACTAGGACAGCGGTTCTCAACCTATGGGTCGCGACCCCTTTGGGGCTCGAACGACCCTTTCACAGAGGTGGCCTAAGACAATCGGAAAACACGTATTTGTAATTAGAAATAAATATTTTACAGTATATAATTATATATTGTTTTTGTGATTAATCACTATGCTTTAATTATGTTTAATTTGTAACAATGAAAATACATCCTGCATATCAAATATTTACATTATGATTCATAACAGTAGCAAAATTATAGTTATGAAGTAGCAACGAAAATAATTTTATGGTTGGAGGTCACCACAACATGAGGAACTGTATTAAAGGGTCGCAGCATTAGGAATGTTGAGAACCACTGGACTAGTGCTTATTCTTGTTATTTCTTTAGTGCTGTTTTTCCCTTCTGGCTATTGCTTCTAAAATTTATTTTATTAATACAAGCCTCTAGTTGATATCTATATGTTATCATCTTCAAAACCATTTTCCAATCCATGCAATGTGGCTTTTACCCTGTCATTTTACTGAGCTTTTTCCCACCTAAAGTCACTTAGTGACATTTTAATCCCCATATCTAGTGGACACTTCTAGTCTTTATTTCACCTCTTTGATGATTCTTTTTATAATTTCTCCTTTGTTTTTTGTTCCTGTTTGTTTTATTTATAGCATTTGTGCCCTCATTTCCTTCCCTGCATCCTGTGCCCAGTTTCATCCGTAAAATTACTATTTAAAAATGTACTTTCATAGTTTTGAACCAGGCTTATTGTTTAGGCTGTTCTAAGGTCCCCACATTTTATTACAAAATATTTAAAAATTATATCTGTGATGTTTTTAATAACAATTAATATAAGGCTAAAAATAAGTCATCTTTGGCATTAGTCAAAGATGACTCCCAGACTTCCGGCCTAAGTGGCTCGTGGATTATAATGTTATTTACTAAAATGGACAATATTAGGGTAGAACTTAATTCACAAGTGACAGTAAATCAAGTTTTGCTCTAGCTATATTATGTTTGAGTGGCCTATTAGATATCCAGGAGAGATGTCAAATAGAAAGTGTCTATTAGAGTTCAGAGTTTCTGAAAGGTAAGGAGAGATTATTGCTCTAAACATGCTCATGATTTTTTCTACTATCAACTTTTGTAGATTAAAATTAGTTTTTATTTGGGCACCATAGAAGAATTTTAAGAGTGTACACATGATTATTGCGGTCTCTTAATTTCCTAATCAATGCAAGAATTTCTTCTACCATGTTCATCATAGATACTCTCCTACTTTTTCCTGCGATAGAATATTTACCATCTTATAACACTACCTGTAGTTGAATACTTCACATTGCTAGAAAATGTATCCTTGTCTTTTTTAAAAAATATGTGTTTTTTTTTATTTCAAAGAAGAATGGAGGGGGAAAGAGAGAGAGAGAAACATAAATGAGGAGAGAGAATCATTGAATGGCTGCCTCCTGCACAGCCCCACTGGGGATCGAGTCTGCAACCCAGGAATGTGCCCTTGTTCAGAATCAAACCTGGGACTCTTCAGTCCACAGGCCAATGCTGTATCCACTGAGCCAAACTGGCTAGGGCTGTATCCTTATCTTTATACACTATTCCTATAGCTCTTTCCGCTCTAGTCTAAAACAAAATATATCTACTGCTCTTTTTACACTGTTGTTAATGATATTTTTTTAGTTATAAACCCAACTGATAGATGTCATCAGTATTAAGACTATAAAACTATGCATTTCCAGAATTGTGATTACCACTATTCTTTATCTGTCCAACATTTCATTCTGGAAGTTTTCAAACATAATTAAAAGTGGTAAGAATTTTATAGTGCATACCCATATACCTGTCACCAAGAATTGATACTATATTCTATAGTTACTATATTTTCTTTATTACACACCTATTTGCCTATCCATCCCTCCATTGATTTTATTTTCCTGATGCCTTTTAAAGCAGGTTACAGACATCAGTACTATTTCAATTGTCTTATTTTCAAATAGTGGTAGTTTTATCACTCTTGTGAATTTTATAGTTTCTCCTCTCATTTCATTGGTCATTTTTTGTGTGGCATAATTTCAGTCCTGACCACATGGTTTTTAAGTACCCGTCTCAAAATAAGGTTGCAGTAAACAAAACACTCAGCTTAGTTTTTATTAACACAGAGTTTTAGCCCTGGCTGGTTTGGGTCAGTGGTTATAGCATTGGCCCATGAACTAAAGGGTCTCGGGTTCAACTTCTGATCAAGGCACATACATCCGCTGTAGCTTTGATCCTTGGCCCTGGTCGGGGCTCCTGCAGAAGGCAGCCAATCAGTGTGTCTCTCACGTCAGTGTTTCTCTTTTTCTCTCCCTTTCACTCTCTAAAAATCAATGGAAAAAGTATCTTCAGGTGAGGATTAAAAACAAAACCAAACCAAAAGGTAGCGCGCGCGCACACACACACACACACACACACACACACACACACACACACACACACACAAAACCCCACAGAGCTTTAGTGAGGCTGGTTCTTGTTTATTCTGGACCCTATACATATATTCATGCAGTCCTATAGAGAGATTTTCCAACTTTAGGGAAGGAAGACATTTTACTCTAGCCTTGCAATTTCTTTTAGCTGGTCTAGTAATCAGCATGAGACAGATTAAGAAAAAATAACCAAGTTTAATTACATATTGCATGTATGGGAACCCCAACATATATTACAGAATAAGAGATTCCACATACAAGAGAGGTTTACAGACAGAAAATTAATATGAGGTATCTATGATATCCTGAACTAAAGTAGGGTAAAATGCCCTGACATTTCAGAAGGAGGATAATTTTCAAGATAAGAGCAAGTGTTTAGTAAATATGTTTGCCCTGTCCTATAAATAGGTCATAAAAAGTTATTTCTGGTAAAAGTTTCTCTTGTGCCTTCAGCGTCTCAATTACCTTTAGCTAAAATAGTCCACATTCCAAAGTAGCATATCTTGGAGAGGCCTGTTCTGAACCCCTTTACAACCTCTAAATAACTGCTGATTCATGTTGAAACCTGTGGTCAGTGAAGACATTAAAAAAAAAAAAGCTGCTGTTAAATCAGATTTCCCTATTTTCTATTTGTGCAGTTGACTTTTAACCCCAATACAGGGTTGGGCAAAAGTAAGTTTACAGTTTTTCTTATGAAAAATAATGTAATAATTAATAATACAAATCAAAGGACTTGTATACATGCATATAAGCCTAACAAATGGACACAGACACCAGGGGGGTGAGGGCATGAGTGTGGGAGTGGGGGAGCAATTGTGGGATAAAGACACATATGTAATACCTTAATCAATAAAAATAAATAAATAAATAAATAAATAATATAAGTTTAAATTTTCCTTAGCATACTCACAACTGTAAACCTACTTTTGCCCCATCCTGTAGAAACTTGATATTTCTACAGGATGAGAAAGAAATGAATTTTAATGATTTTAGCCAGTGATATGTTGATAAATGTTTAGCTGATTCTTCAAATCAACAAATGAAAAAATTTATATATATATTAGAGCAGTGATGGCAAACCTTTTGAGCTCGGCGTGTCAGCATTTGGAAAAACCCTAACTTAACTCTGGTGTGGTGTCACATATAGAAATTTTTTGATATTTGCAACCATAGTAAAACAAAGATTTATATTTTTGATATTTATTTTACATATTTAAATGTCATTTAACAAAGAGAAATCAACCAAAAAAATGAGTTCGTGTGTCACCTCTGTCATAGGTTTGCCATCACTGTATTAGAGAAAGCAAAGAAGCAAAAAAAAAAAATCCTGATTTGTAACATTTGCTGATTTTCATGGTATAAATGCTCCCACCGTGGCCAATTCAAATCACCAACATGATGTCAGAGGTGGGAAGAAATATTAATAATCCACTTTCATGTTTCAAGCTAGTTACAACCAACTCTAGTACACCACTAATTTCAGCTCAGCCCTTCTGGTTAATCCATTTTCTGTCATTTAAATATTAAATTTTGATTGAATATTTATTTCCAGATTTTTTATATGAGTGAATTTGTTAAGTGTTGCCTGTATATTTTCACATGGGTCATTTATAAAATAGACAAAGCCAAAATAGTTTACATAAGTATGAAAATTATTACTAATCAGGAGAATAGTTATTCATGTTCTCTGGTACTAGAAAAGATTAACAGAGATAACCATTAGTTTCTAGTCACTTGGTCCTAATAACTACCTTTTTCATATTGAGACTTACCTGAACTTAGTGGTTCCCAGAACCAGCCTTAATGCTGACTCAAGTCAACAGCTTTCCCCAATAGTAGCCCAAATTCCAGATTAATTCCCATTAAATAATTAATATGTCTAAGAGTTTAAGTTTCCCAGTTATAGAAACTTTCAGAAACTTAATTTGTAGTTCAGAAAGAATTGATTCAAAAAAGTTTCTGATTTGGGGAAAGATAACTAATCTATTGAGGGATCAAGATATAGCCCTGATAATTTACACTGAGCACCAGGAGTCAATTCATTTACTTGCCAGTATTCTAGGAGTACCAACTGGTAGACACTAGACTCTCAAAGTGCAGAGGAAGCCATATAATAACCAATGCATATGTTGTTCACTCTTCTTTTTATTTCTATTAAAGTTGAAAACAACTAGCAGTGAGAGTGAGACATCTTCCATAAGCACCTCTCTCTCCTACATTACATCTTTCAGAATTAAAACAAAAAATATGCTTGCTACAGGTATCTAGTTTCTCGGATGCTGACCTACTCTGTTTGCCTTATATAAGGGAGAAAATGAGCTCTCCTATATTTTTTCTAGTTTTTTTTTTTTTTTCTTCACTTCCAGGTGTGTAATTATGTCCAGTTCTCACCAATTGGATAGATCAGAGCAGTGGTTTTCAAGCTATTTCTCAGAGGCTTTGTAAATTGATGACCTAGAGCAGGGGGTGAGGGGCCAATTAACACTTTAACTCCTCCAACAATGCCTAAAACACCTTATTTTTATTTTAGCACTACATAAGACTTTATGTGAGCGAATAGTCTTCATGGCTAAACGGAGTACAAGAAATACTGGGATAGAGAATCAGTAATTTGCAGACATTCATTTATTTATTTTTAACATATTTTTATTGATTTCAGAGAAGAAGGGAGGGGGAGAGAGAGAGAGAGAGAATCATCAATGATTAGAGAGAATCATTGATGGCTGTTCTTGCACGCCCTCTACTGGGATTGAGCCAGCAACCTGGGCATGTGCCCTAGACCGCAATTGAACCTGTGACCCTTTAGTCCTCAGGCTAACACTCTAAGCACTGAGCCAAACCAGCTAGGGCTCAGCTTGTTAATTTCTACAAAAAAAAAAACCCTGTTGGGGTTTTGATTAGTATAATGTTGAATTTGCAGATTAATTTAAGAAGTAATATCTTTACTCTGAATCTTTTAATCTAAGAACACTCATCTGTTTTTTTTAGACTTGTTTTCAGCCAGTCTCTTATATCTCTGGACTTGATTGAAGATTTTCTTGAATTGGCTAGTAGGGAGAAAACAGAAGATAAAGATAAACCTCTTATTTATAAAGGTGAGTTACAAACATTTCTATATCATAAGTTTTAAAAACATTAATTTTAATATCTTGTGTAAACTTTCTAACAATAAAAGAAAAACTAGCCAGACCCACAACCCTAATATGTCTGTGTTTTTCTCCACTTTATTCTTAACCTTATCCATATTATTGAGGTCTTTGTTGTTGCAATTTTAACATCAATCATTAAAACCTAGAGGCCCAGTGCACAAAATTCTTGCCTAAACTGTGAGTTGGACATCCCTCTCACAATCCTGGATTGCTGGCTCCTAATTGCTCACCTGCCTGCTTGCCTGGTCGCCCCTATCTGCACCCCCTGCCAGCTTGATCGCCCCTTACTGCCCTCCCTGTCGGCCTGGTTGCCCCCAACTTCCCCCCTCTGTTGGCCTGGTCATCCCCAACTCCCCCCACCACCTCCCTGCTGGCCTAGTTGCCCCCAA